GCCCGCGCGGCTTTGCCCGGGCTACCCCGGCCTGGACCCCGCCTCGGACCCGGGCTCCCACAGGGGAGAAACCCACGAGGGTGAGCGCCCTTCCTCGGGGACGAACGCTCCCCAGGTGGTGGCGTGGCTGAGGAGCTCGGAGAGAGGGGGTGTGCCAGGGGTGCCGGCAGGATTCCGCCCACCGTGCAAGGGACTCAGTGGTCGCTTTTAAAACATTGAGATTTTTCAAGTTACAAAAATAATATATTCCTAACGGCGAAGTTGGTGACTGATGAAAAGCCCAAAGGAAAAGACCCACCGGACGTTAGTTTTTCAACCCAGATCGACTCCTCCAGTCGAAGAACTGGGAGATCAGCCAGCAGCTCTCAGTACTTCTTTCGCTCAAAGTCGCTCCCTTTTCCCCACATCGGCCCGCCCAATCTCCGATTCATCCTTCAAGGCCCACCTCACAAGCCGCCCCAAACAGCTTTTCTGATCTCTTTGTTGCCTCCACCGCAGTTAGGAGTATCCAGTCATAACTTAATCCCCTTCCACTCCTCCTTGGATCTCCCTCTTAGCAATGATGTCCTGAAAGGAGGATAGGCTTTGGAACCTGGGTTGGGGACAAAAGCCAGTATACACTTTCTAGCTTGAATGACCTTGAACAAGTTACCTGTCCTCCCTCAGCTTACCTGGAAGTTTTGAAAGGGCTGTTAATATATGTGAGTCAATATATGTGACTGCCTCTGACGTACTAAAATGTCCTTAATTAATGGTGTTTTTTTTCTCTTCTCGTATTTCCTTTATGTACTCTGTATATTTTAGTAATTTATGCACCACTTCTTAGTTCACCTTATACTCTAGAGTCCTTGATGGCAGTGACTGTCTTGCTTATTTTGGCATTACTAAAATGACTACCATAGTGCTTTGCACCCAATAAACGTGTTAGATTGAATTAAGCCATTTTAATAATTTTCGTCTCTTCCTTCAATACTTCCTTTTTTCTCCCCACTCACTCTCAAATCCATTTCTGAGGTGAGCTACAAATGTTAATGTCTCAGGTTGATTACTCAGGCCGATCATGTGTCTCTGTTTTGAGGTAGGTTGGACTCTAGCAGATGTGAACTAAAATAAGCTATGAGTTCAATCATAGAAGTGGTCACGCTAGTGAAAATAAGGTTGAAAAATGAAAAGACTAAAGATCTAAAGTCTACCACTACCTGAAGACTAGGTTTAAATAGCTCTGATTTATAAATTCTTAGATTTTAAAAAGACTTTTTATTCTCAAATTCCACAATGCATACATATTTGTGCCAGTTGTAACACCCAAGTATATACTGACCTGTTACCTTAACCTGAATTCGGCAATAGATGAGATTAGACATTTTATCATAGGAATAAAAGAATTGAGCCAGTAAAAGGAGAAGTGATTTATTTAGTCACCCACTAAGCTAAGAGTCAAAGTAGGACTACAACCAGGTGTTCTAATATTGCAGTGATTTAAATACTGCATGGATTAAGGGATTGTGTTTCTAGATTCTGGTTGCCAAAAGGAGGAAGCCCTAAATTATCTAACAAGGTATTTGTTAATAGATACTGCTTTCTCAATGACTAAGGAAGTCAGCTGTTTGTTCCATTATGTACTAAAAATGTTCAAAAACCTTCTAAAGCAACAAGATTATTTCAACCTTTCCCTTCACTAAGACAGACCAATCATAGACGCCTGTTTTATATATAATAGATGCTCAATAAATGTTGAAAGTTAATTGTGTGTTGACTTCTGTTAGAAGGGCATGTGGCACTTGTGCTCTGATGCCTCCTTATGGCACAAATTCACATCATGTCATTCATTTATTCCATGACAAGATACTTGAGCAAAGACTTGAAAGATATGAGAGAATGAGCCATGGGGATAAGCGAGGGTATAGCAAGTCTAAGGGCCCTGAAGCTAGAATATGACTGTCATGTTAAAGAAAAAGCAGGACGTAAAGGTGGCTACAGTACACTGAGGATGGAGAATAGTAGGAGATGAAGTCAGAGAAGTAATAGGAGGCCAGATCCTATAGAGTTTTGAAGGTCATTAGAAGGACTTTGGCTTTCACTCTTAGTGAGACAGGGAGCCATTGGAGAATGTTAAGCAGATAAGTAACATGATCTGGCTTATGTTGTGAAAGGATATCTGCTGCTATGATGACAGCCTGTGGGGGATCACTCTGGATGCTATTGCAATAACCCAGACAGAGATAATGGGAGTTTGGACCATGGTAGTGGTAGTGAATCAGAGTCTGTATATATCTTGCACATGCAACTAATAATGCCACAGTAGTTGTATGTTATATGTGAAGTTTGAGACAGAGAGGAGTCAAGGTTGAGTCTAATGTTTTTGGCCTGAGCAATTGGTGGAGTTGCCAGTAACTGAGATGGGGAAGAGCAAATTCGGAGGAGACCAAGAGTTCAATTTTGGACATAAGTTAGAGACACATATTAGGTATCCAAGAATTGATGTCACATAGACCCTCTGAGTCTGGAGTTCAGGAGACAGGTCCAAGCAAGAAATATAAATTTGAGAATAGCATATAGATGGTATTTTAAGTTAAGGGCTTGGATAAGATCATCTAGGGCCATGTTTGTCCAATACAGCAGCCATTTAGCCACATGTGGTTATTGAGCATGTGAAATACATCCGGTCTGAGTTGAGGTATGCTATAAGTGTAACAGTGCATTTCAAAGACTTAGAATTAAAACAAAAGAACTTAAAATATCTCATTAATATTAATGATGAGTGTCCACTGTAAAAAACTACCTTGCATAGTTACCACTGCATCTCCTTTAGACAAAGTCACTCTTTCTGAATTAAAAACAGTCCTGAAGAGCTTCATAAGTCAAAGCCAAGTACAGAAATAGGAGGTTAAGGGCGCCTGGGTGGCTCAGTCGGTTAAGCGACTGCCTTCGGCTCAGGCCATGATCCTGGAGTCCCGGGATCGAGTCCCGCATCGAGCTCCCTGCTTGGCGGGGAGCCTGCTTCTCCCTCTGACCCTCTCCTCTCTCATGCTGTTTCTCTCTCGCTCGCTCTCCAATAAATAAATAAATAAAATCTTTAAAAAAAGAAAGAAATAGGAGGTTAAGACTGATCCATCAATCATGGATGGAATGACTGTACTGAAGAGAAATATGTTGATATTTCTACAAAAATTAAGATTCAGAAGCCACGCAGGGCTATGTGAGAGATTTTCTGAAAGTGCTGATTTTCTGTCAGTGAAAATTCTTAAACTCAGAGCAACAATGTTTCCTGACAGAAAAATAAAATAATAATTTAATACCTCATATTAATATATTTTTTATATTGATTATATGTTGAAATGCTAATATTCGAGGTATACTGGGTTAAATAATATATATATGAATTTCACCAGTTTCTTTTTACTTTTTTTGTTAATGTACCTACTAGAAAATTTCAAATTACATATGTGATTTGCATTTGTGGCTCACATTATTTTCCTATTGAACCTTGCTGCTCTGGGGAGCAAGATTGGATAAAGAAGTGATACAATGACTCCGTCTCAGAGCACTCCAACTCTAAAAGGGAGCGAAGGGGAGATGAACCAGCAAATGAGAGTACAGAGGCTAGTGCAAGGAAGGAAAATTTTCCCCTACTCTTCAAACGTTCTTCTGGATGGCCTAAGAATTAAATTGACATAAACAGATTAACAGGAGAGAACTGCATTTAATTTTGCATCTATGGGAGCCCCACATACATGAGAGGTTCAAAGACAGAAAGGTAAAATGAGGTACATATGCCATCCTAAGCTAAGGAATTGGATGGGGTCTAGGGCATCAAAGGGGAGGAGGGCAATTTACAAGGCAGTACAAAAGTTGTTAAGTAATCAGATGTTTGCCTGCCATACAGTTAAGTCATTCAGGTGAAATTTATATCTTGTAATAACTCAAATTCTGGGAAAGACCCCCCAATTTAGACTTTTCCAGGTAGTTAAGGGAGGGGCAAAATCTCTCTTAAGCCAGCAGGGTTTTGATTGCCTTCACGGTGATGAACTGTGGTAACTGCTGCTAATAGATTAATTAAAATAAGGCCTGAGAAATGGCCCCTGAATTTAGAAAGGTGAAGGTCACTGGAAGTTTCCATGGAAGTTGTAAATCAATCGTTAACTCTTTCCTACTGAGTGCAAACTCCGCTTCAGTATCCTTCTCAACAAAGAGCCCCTGGAAGTCACTTCCAATGGACCAGAATTGAAAAGGGAAATCTTACCTACTTGTCATTCCTGGTTGGAGTTACATTCTAGTGATTCTCTTGTATAACATCTGTACAACTCATAATGAAGCCATACTTCTTTTAGTGTTGACTTAATAGTTAAGAATACTGCACTACACCTGTACGACACTACATCCCAAGATAAAGATTTCTAAAGGTACTTTTTCTACTTTCCATTTAAATACATATCTTCCTCCACCTATGATGGGTTACATTCTGGTAAGCCCATCATAAATTGAAAATGCATTTGATACACCTAACCTACCAAACATAATAGCTTAGCCTAGCCTACCTTAAACTTGCTTAGAACACTTCTACTAGCCTACAGCTGGGTGAAATCATCTAGCTCAAAGCCCATTTTATAATAAAATGTTGACTATCTCATGTAGTTTATTGAATACAACACTGAAGTGAAAATTTATTAAATAATGTATTGAAATGCTGTAGTGAAAGAATGGTTGTAAGGGAACAAAATAGCTCTAAGTGTATCAGTTTTTTACCCTCAGAACAGAGTGGCTGAGTGGGAGTTGGGGCTTGCTGCTGGGGCCTAGCATCGCGAGGAAGTCCACTGCAGATCACTAAT